GAAACTGGGAATGAAGAATTTGCTCGTGTCAGGTAAAATAAGCTTTAGTGGGAGCTGAAGGAAGGAGGAGACTGACCAAGGCCATGTCTCTTTTCCCAAAGCAGAGCAGATGCACAGAGTGGTGTTTTCAGGTGCTTGTGATTTTCTCCAGCAGCTCCCTCTCCCTGACAGGCATGGGAGGTGTCAGTGCTGTGCTCAGAATTCTGTTGCACGGGCTGTGGTTGGGGACTGTTTGGTTAAATGTCCCTGTTAGTATATTCTAGACCTCAGATGGCTGAAGAGTTAAACAGGAAATGGGAGGTGAAATGGGAGTCTAGAAAGTGGGAAGTAAGCCCCTGTGTGTTGCCGGGGGTAGGAGTAAACCCCAGGAGTTAATGGCTTGGACATAACCAGGCAGTCTGTGTCCTGGCAAGAAACTCAGGAGTTCATGGTCAAAGAACTGCTTCGACCTGGTTGTATTGAGGATTGAAAAGGATTCAGCAGCTCTCATTTCTTTCATTTCTCTTCCTCTGAGGCAGAATCTCCCAAGCCACTATAAGAACTGTCTGCTTTCTTGGAGCAGGCTCTCCATTTTGCTGCTGATGGCATCAGACCCCTCCATCCCCACCAGATGTGGGGATGCACCAGATGTGCAGACCTCTTTGCAAAAGGGGCAGCAGGAGAACCTTGAGCTGCTCACAGAGGGATGGTCCCATAGCCCTGAGAGCCCTCCTGGGGCAGATCCATCACCCTGCATACTCAAGGGATTGAGCCTGCTGGGAAAGGAACAAAAGCCCTTCTCCTGCCTGGGGGGGAGGGACACCATGCTGAGCTTATGCTGTATCTGCACAGCAGATCATGAGACACCACAACACTCTTGAGCTGTCAGATGGCATTTTTAATCAACCCAAACTTGACTTTTTGGAAATTGTAGTTAATTATGCTCTCCAACCAGAAAGCACAGGGCTTTGATCAGTGCTTCGCAAAGCAAGTATGATCCAGTGCTGCATCTTGTGTCAGCTCATTAGCAGCTACCTTCATTATAAATCCTGCTCATTAGCTGGGTCTGAACTGGAAGCCTGTGAATTAAGAGAGGAGTTAGACAAGGTTTTGTAGCTGGGTCTCAAACCATAGACAACATAAATATAAACATGGTTTATGCTTTATAGACACATAAACATAATTTATAGGAAGAAGCCCTTCCTATAAACTGTAGGAAAGGTGCAGTCACTGATGAGCAGAAGATAAGGCCCAGCAACTGTCCCAGAAGCGAAGCAGGTGGGTTAAACAGGGGGATTTGTCAATGTCTCATCTGCAACTCCAGGCCAGGGTAACCCATACCATGTTTGAAGCAGGGTAGATAAACAGGAGTGCACCTGCACCAGGTTCCTTGGAGCTGCACTGCCAGGTAAGGGTTTGGCCTCAGGGGTGCAGTGCCAGTGTTGGTGTTGGTGTTGTCAGCCTCACTCACCACACAGACACTGGCACTTTAAAGCACAGTTGGTGTCTTGACCCTGGAACAGCAACTCACTCCAGAAGACTTGTCCATGAGGCTCCATCGTGGAATCATTGTTCTTCATAAGCTTATAGAGGACTGGAAAGTGAGAGATGGTCAGGGTTAATTATAGTTCATTTTTCTGGTAACCCACTGTTCCATGGCAGATTTAGAGCTGCCTGAGGGAGGTTAAGAGCCACTTTGTCCAACTATGGAAATCAATCTAAAATAGAAATAGTGTGATGAGGGAGTGTTGCGGAGGCTTGTAAAATTGAGACACATAATATATTCAAACAAGATTTATTTTATATACCAGTTAAACCAGATTAACTGGTTTTATTAAACCAATTCAATAAATTAAGCCAATTAAGCTGCATCAGGATTCAAATACAGATTCATGATGTCCAGTGGAATTGGTTCTACTCGAATGACTTCAGACTTCTTAAGGTTTAGAAGAGTAACTCAGAATGAGCTGGGTTACCCCAATGAGGGTCCCCAGTCTCTTGGAGTTATCTGAGACAGCAGCCTCACATAATGGAAGAATCCCAGCTGCAGACCAGCGGGCTGCTCTGAGGGGGGTTGGCTGACCCCCCAGCACCTACATCCCAATGAGCCCTGATTTGTGGTCAGCCAGCCACGTGAGCCCTCACTGCCTGGGTCTCACATCCCCCACAGCCACCCTGCAGATGTGATGGGGTTTAGCTTGCACAGGAGAAGGGAAGGACAGCCAGCCATGACTGGCCAGGCTGGGGATAGTGGCAGTCACAGACTGCAGGGAGAAGGATGTCCATGACACCATGTCAGCCCTTTGCAGCAGCCTTTACTCCCTGCGAAGGCAGAGTGGTGAATCACAGGATCATGGAATGGTTTGGGTTGGAAGAGACCTGAAAGTTCATCCCATCCCACCCCTGCCATGGGCAGGGACACCTCCCACTGTCCCAGGCTGCTCCAAGTCCCATCCAGCCTGGCCTTGGACACTGCCAGGGATCCAGGGGCAGCCACAGCTGCTCTGGGCACCCTGTGCCAGGGCCTGCCCACCCTCAAAAGTAAAAATTCTTTTCCAGTATCCCATCTAATCCTGTCCTCTATCATTCCCCCTTGTCCTGGCACTCCAGGGCCTTGTCCAAAGTCCCTGTCTAGCTCCCTTGGAGCCCCCTTAGGCAATGAAAGGGGCTTTAAGGTCTCCTGGAACCTTCTCTTCTCCAGGCTGAACAGCCCAGATCTCAGCCTGGCTTTGTAGCTGAGGTCACCAGCCCTCAAAGCATCTCTGTGCTCCTATTAAATAGGAATATTCATTGAGTAGGAATATTTGATGTAATCTAAAATCAATGAAGCTGAAAAGCCCATTGGAATTCCTTGCTTCCTTTCACTTGTCTTGAGACCTGCATTGCTTGGCCTTCAGGAAATCCACATTCTGGACCTCCACACTGAGCAGCCGGGGATGCCCAGTACCATTCCCCTCATGACATCCTCCTCCCCATGGCCATGCAGCATTAGGAGTGCCTGGGGCAGAGTCCCTGCAGAGGAGCAGCATCTGCACTTTGCTCTAGGGGAGCAGAGATGTCCCTAGGGCTGTGAAATGCTCCCAGAAAAGCCTCTCGGCCCCCTCCTCTTTACCCCTGTGACCATTAATTGCTGTGTGGCTCAGCACCTGCACTCTGTGCACTGTGGAGGCTCAGCCTGAGCCCCTGCAAGGAGCCACTTCCTCCCCACCAGCTCTCTCTTGGTGCTGATGCTTTGCATCAAGGTGCTCTTGACTAAGAAGGAAAGCATTTTTCCTTCCTAAACCAGAGCATGCCTCAAGCATTTTAGCTTGGGAGCTCAGTGTATGCCACAGGTCCTCTGCCAGACACGGGCCTTTCATAAGATTTTTTTTCTGTCTAATCACACAAAGAAAATGCATTTGCCATTCTTAGCAGACCATTTCACTGTTGTGTCTCTTTCTTCATCCCACAGAATATTTCCCCCTGATTAACTCATGTGTTTTACTCTCTCTGCTTATGTTTTGGCAAACGTGAAGAAAGAGAGTGATGCTGTTTCCAGAGACAGACTGATGAGGCCCAGGCATTCCCAGTAACAAGCTTAATGCTAACACAGAGATGCTCCTTGGGCTGCCCATCAGCACATTTATCTCCACTGGTAAATCCCAGAAGCCTTAACTTCCAAATGGTGCTAATGAGAGGCAGTCACATAAACCTTGAGCTGGCACAGAGGCTGCTGATACGAATCACCACAGCGTGAATGTTCTTAGAATTTTTTAACTGAAATTAAATTCTCTGTGGCTCTGCAGCTTGGCAGGTGGATGTGTACAAAATACCAATGGAAAGAACATGGAAATACAGGCAGTTCCCTGCCTGAATTTAACAGAGGTATATATAGTGTGTTCTGGAGTTAACACCAGGGGGACATTATGTCCATAACCTCCCATGGTTTCCAGCCCACCCTGCACTGCCCACGCAGCTGGACATCACTGAGAAGACCCTATCTAGCCCCAGTGAATGGACAAAACCAATTTTTTGGCTGGCCGATGACTCTGCACAGAGGCCCTGTCTCTGCTTCCATCTGCATCTCTGTGCACAGGTCTGGGGCAACACAGCAGAAACAAGAGAGCAACCTGCAGCTCGCTGCTGTTCTGCACTGCAGCATGGAGCTGCAGGGAAGTGGTGGTGGCAGGGGTCTGACATTGGGGCAGGTGATGGAGCTGATCCCCACGACACTGGCACACAGGGATGTGTGCCATCCCCATTACACTGGCACCCCAGCACACAGGGGTGCACAAAAGCACTTTCCTAAACCCATCAGAGCTGTCTGCACTCCCTGGCCCCAGTGCATTTGGTGGTGTGCCAGGCTGGGTTGGGGCTGCAGGTGGGCTGGAGCTGCAGGTGCCCGCAGGCAGCTGGCAGAGGGGTGCAGGGGCTGCAGGCTCCAGCTGGGGAGCGTTACCGGCTCCAGCTGCATCACCAGTGGAAAGCAGGACAAGCGGTGGAGGGGAAATGAAATGATCGGCAGGGAGGGAGGCAGCACGGGGAGGAGCAGCCACTCTCAAAGAGGAGTTGGTAGTGATGGCAAAGCACTGTGACTCCTTGATTCTCCGGTTTCTCTTCGGGTAGCAGGAATCCCCGAGCCATCAAAAGTGCGGGTGTGGCTCCCTGCTTTGACCCGTGAGTTCGCGGGGCAGTGGGTGTGTCCTGCCTGCAGCCCACGGCATCCTGCCGCTGTTCACGAGCACTGAGAGTTTGCACGCTTTAAAACTAACATCCAGCCGGCGACGGCATTTCACTTCTCCAGGCATCCTGCTGTAGCAGATGTCTCCAGAGTCTGAGGTTAGAGCCACTTAAGAGCTAAGAAAGGCCCCCAGGACGATTTCCAGCGGGAGGCGCGGGCGGGGTGCGGAGGGGCTGCCCTGTGCCCGTGCCCCCAGCGCGGTTCGGAGCAGCTCCGAGCGCTTCCCCCGCGCTCCAGCAGCCTCGGGGGGCTCTGCTGCTCCCTGTGCTCTTTCCCAGCGCTCTAATCAGTGATTTCAAACCGGTTTGGTTAAACTCGGGAACGAACTGCATCGGAGCAGCGAGTTCCCGTCCCGGCTGAGCCACGGTAAGCGCCGCTGTCCCCGCGGGGCGGAAGCCCCGGGACACGAACCGGCTCCGCGGGGCCGGCCCGGGCAGCTCCATCCCGGGGCGGGGCGGGCTGGGCCGGGCTGGGCTCCGGGGCCGCCCCCATCGCCGCTTCCTCCCCCGGCTCCGGCCGGAGCCCGGTGCCCTCCGTACGGCGGCAGCGGGGCCGCGTCCCGGGCGGGCGCTCCGGCTGCGCCGCGGGACGGGCCCGAGGGACGGCGGAGCAAGTGAGCGGCTTCTCCCTTCTTCCCTCTTCTCCTCCCTTTCCCCCTCCTCTCCTCCCTTCCTCGTGGGTCCCCCCGCCTCGCCCGCGGCTGTCGGGAGCGCAGGACTCTGCTGCAGGAGCCCGGGAGTTGCAAAACATCTCCTGGCTTTGCAGCGCGTTTAAATATTTTTTTTTCCTTTCCCTTTTCCATCTTACACTTGGAGTAGCTAATTGGGTAGGAAAACACGAGCTGCAGGGGTGGGATTACTTCATGCTCTTGCAATGCTGTTTTGCTGTTCGATTTCAGTCCTCTCAGTGAATAGAGCCTGCCTGGCGGTGCTGCCCTGGAGCGCTGCTCTGCCGCCAGCGCCTTTTTTCCTTAGCAGGTTTTCACTTTAAACGATTTCGTTGTCTCTGTTGCTGCCTTGGTTTCGGAGGTTTTTTGCCCTTTTGAACAGCGGGTCCCGCACTAATCCCGGTCCATGGTGTGTGCCCAGAGGCTTCCTCCTCTGGCAGGTTCATTCCTGCACCAGGGCTTTTCTCCATTAGTTTCGAGGTTTCTGTAGAATATGTGATTTCCAGGGAAGTGGCGATGCTGGCAGCGGGCTGTTTACTTCCCAGCCTGCTGGCTGGTGTCCTGGCTCCTGCTGCCATGGATTGTCACTGCGTGGAGCAGCCTCGATTTTTCTCCTCCGCTGGTGAAAGCTGGATTTCTTCAGGTTTGTCTGAGAATGGGGGAACAGGGAAATTGCTTGTGCAGGTGACATTGAAGTTCAGCCAACCAAACCAGCAGAAATTGCTTCCCTGAGAATACAGTGTGTGCAGATGTGCTCCCTGAACAGTTTATTCTTGAATTCGAGCAACAAGTTGTGTGTGTTTTATAGAAATAAATACGGAGCAGGCAAGTGCTGGGCATTGATTACTGAGGCCTGGAGTCAGCAGGATGCTTCAACGTGGGGGTGAGCAAGTTGGAGCTGGTCCTTGGGTTGGCTGGATGCATGTTTACACCAGTGAAACATCTGCAAGTGGAGGACCAGTTTGTGTTTGTCTCATGCTTAGCTTTCCCTGTGTATTCCCCTCCAAAAGGAGATGATGCAGTGTGGTGCTCAGGAACTCGTTTTTCCTTGTTACCTTCTTCCTAAGGGCACTGTTTTTGCTCTCAACTGGCAACTCCAGCAGTGAAATAAGCTGGGGGCAATTTATCTTCCTTCTTTATCATAAATATTTTACCTCTAAAACAGTAACCTCAAAAATATTTAAACCCAGGGAAATTTGTTTTGTGCTTCTTAAGCCTGGGCTGTCTCCAATGGTATCATGCTCTGGGGTTGGCTGTTCTGCTTTATTTCCCTGAATTAATTTTATTGTGGCACTGAGAACTCCCATGTGGTCCCTGGAAATTATCCTGCATTTTGAGAAGTTCAAAACTTGCTGAATAATGGTGCTTTCTTCCCTGAAATAGAGGTGGGAAATTTCATATCCCAGCCTGTCCCCGGGTACCCGAAAGTTGACTTTTACAGCTTTCACCTCAGCAAAGCTGGGCTTCATTGGTAAATCTTTTTTCAAGTGACTTGTCTCATCTAAAGTTATGAAATGTTGATATTTCTCATAATAGTTGGATTAATTAATTAGATGAGTAGATATCTTCCTGCTCCCCTTCTTCTAAGTGAAAACCCACATCTGTTTTTATGCTGACAACAGTTGTTTAAATGATCCCCAGCCCAGGGAACCTACAGTCCATTCCTGTTTGCACCCTGGAGCTGTGTCAGTCTCAGATGGTCTTTCCCAGTGTAGGGAAGGCAGATGCCATTGGTGAGGTTGTTCCCCAGAGAGCCAGAGCCCTGCAGAGGAAGCGATGGCACCTGGGTGTCTCATTCTGGAGAACAGCCTCACTGGGATGAGGCATCTCCATCCTTGTGCAGTACCAGGAGCTATCCCAACTTTCTCCACTGACACCTGCTGTGATGTTCATGAGCAACTTGGGGTGTTCATCTGGAAGAGAACTCAGTGCCAACGTCCTGTGTGCTCCTCCAGGATGATGAGAACAGTGGTCAGAGGAGGGTCAGATGTTCTCTCCAGCATGAGGTCATTATGGCAATGGGAATGCCAATTACCTCCCACGAGTCATAACTCAAGAGCAAACACTCTTCTTGTCATCTCTAAGGTAAGAGGGCACATGATCCCCATTTTCACAGAGCTCAGCTGCAGAAATTCCCATCCCTGCCGTCCATGTGCAGCAGTGCTGGCAGGGGGAATGGCACAGGAGCAGGGCTGGGGCAGAGCCTGTGTGTCTGGAGCCAGCAGCAGAGTGCCTGGGGAGTCCCAGGCTGTGTCTGGAGACAGAGCTGCAGAGGATGGCACTGGTGGGAAGCTGAGCCAGAGTGCAGCCAGGTGCCCTGTGTGTCCTGGCTCCTGGCACTGGGAGCTGGCAAGGATGGGGGGCAGCCTTGGGGCACTGCTGGCAGAGCCTGGCTGCTCTCAGGTGCAGCAGTGCTGAGGCAGCTGTTCCCTGTGGGGCTGTTTCTGTCCCAAAAGGAGAAATGTGTGTTGGCAGCTTTCCCAGCACCAGGATGGCCGCGAGGGCCAGAGCTGTGCTCAGCTTGGCGTGGAGTTTCTGCTGCTTGCAGCCTGCATCCTCTCCAGGCTGGGCTTGCACTCCTCTCCCAGCTTGCCTCAAGTTTTTCCCAGCTCTGAAGTTGAGATGTTAAATGACATCTTTGTGGTGAGCTGTGGCAGGTGAGGGATGCTGTGTCCTGCTGAGGCCCTGTGGAATGTCACAGCCTGTTTGTTTGCTGCAGCCCTAAGGCAGGAAGGGACAATTGCCAACCCCTGTGGCTCCTGGCCCTGGGCAGCCCCATGATCCTGTATTCCATGCCTGTCCTGCTCAGCTGCAGGAGTCTCTCACTTACCTGTGAGACACTTGACCTGTGTCTCACTGGGCCAGAATGAGAGCATGGGCACCAAATCCTGCCTTGGTTGGCACTGCTTGGTTTTTTTTGGGGATGCAGAAAGGTATGAGGAATGACCACAGAGCTGGAGGATGGACACAGCAGGGGAACAGCAGTGCCATTTCAGTGGCACTGAATTGTCCTGGGCAGAGTTATGGGTGGGCTGGATGCTGATGCTCAGGTGGAATGAGTTACTGTGATCTCTGCTCCCCTTCAGCTGCTGGCTGGGAGAGGATCCTGTGTGGCTCGGCCCCTCAGGCTCCTTTGCTCCTCTCCCTTCTATAAGGAAGTGTTGGCATTGTGTCTGGGAGCTCTGCTGCCATCCCAGTGCTTTCACACCTTGTGATTGCACCCGTGCTTTGCTCAGCCACATGTTGTCCCTAAGGACAAAGGGACAGGATGTTGCTGGCTGGGATCCCCTCGTGGGTGGCCTCTCTCCAGGATGGTGCCCAAAGGGAAGCCCATGCAAGAGCGCAGGTACTTTTTCTTTTTTTTACTTTGGGAGTGAGGGTCCTCTCTGCTGAGACCTCTGCACAAGCAGGGGAGGTTGTACCACCAAAAGTCTGCTTGGGTCCCCTTCAGAGCAGTGGCTGCTGTTTGGTGGCTCTAGTGGCACTGCCGAGTCACCCACTCGTGCTGGCAGCCCTGGCCAAGCAGGGCTGGCACAGCTGGCTCTAGGTGGAGTGTTTGCACCAGGGAGTCCAGGCTTTCAGCAGCTTTAATAGGAAGTTACTTTTTGTGATAAATTGATGGCTTCATTTTTTGACCTTTCAAAGCTTTTCATGCATTAGCTACATGTAGGAAATGTAATTTTCCATGCTGAGAAACCAGCTCTGAAGCAGAATGACTGATGTGATTTTTTTTTTGGATGTCTGGCAGACCAAATTTAATGTGAAACAAGGCTCAGGTCCCGGGCTGAGCTCCTCTGCCTCAGAGATTTTGTGCCTGCATGACAGGGAGTTAAAAAGGGAAGCAGGGAGAATTTGGTAGAATTGTTTTCTTTTGATGGCTTGGAAGCTCCTGGAGAGACACCAAAGTACAAGGGTTTCCAGACTTATACAGGGATTTCAGTGACTTAAAAGTAACCTGAAGGGAAAAAAGAAATGCTAAAATGAGGGAGGCTGAGAACTGCTTGGTCTTCTGCAGGGCTCCTGTGATGCTGTTCCCACTGGTGGTGGCAATGGGGTCTGATCCTGCTGTGCTGAGCAGTGTTCTGGCAGCTCCAGTGCTGCTCTGTGTGCATTGAGTCAGCTGCCTCTGAGCTGCCATCTCGCCCCTTGCTGTTCTTCTGGCTTGCCAGGGATGTAGTGCTGGGTTGTCCCTGTTCTGGGTGCTTTGGGATTAGCATTTATAAGCCTTCTTCCAAAAGAGAGGCAGAAACCTACTTGGCTCAAGAACTTGCCCATTTTCCCCATGGTTATAGAATGCTCAGGTGAATGTTCTTTGTGTGCCTGCACATTGCCCTGGTGCCAGTACCCAGCCTGGTTCTGGGCATGTGTAACCAGTCTAATGCCCAGTTTTGGTTGTGTTTCTTTACAGGAGGCACCTGGGGACATCACTTGGAGGTGCTCTGTGCCCATGTCTGCAGCACAGAGGTGGGAGAGGGTGACTTTGCCTCTCAGAGCATCACGAGTGACACCGTGAGAGCTCCCGCACGCGTCAGCCTGCAAGTGGTAAGAGTCGGGCAGGGCAGCTGCCTGTCTTGCTTTTAGTATTTCATGGAGTGTTTCATGGAGCTCACAAGAATGTGTGAGCTGCATAAGAGCCCCGAAGTCCCTGGGATGTGAGCTCAGGTGAAGCTCCCCCCTGCCATACAGTGCTGTGCTGGCTCAGTGGTAACAGAGCAGTTGCCCTCTGGCTGTGATTGAGCTCCTTAGATCGAATTTCTTTGCTGTTTTGCTGCACAA